TCAGTTCAATTGTTTTGATTAACTTTCATTCATTTTTATCGATTTCAGCTCATCCCGATAGTTATCCTGCTTTTTATCATGAAATTGAGGTGAAAACTTTTTACCTGGAAAAAAGTTTTCACTTTAGCTCAATAACTTTGACATGTTTACATTTTCTGTCCTCGTTGATTACAATTGACATTGATCAGAATTGATTTGATTGATATTGTCCAGAAATTGTCACATCAATTTGATTTTTAAATTGACAAATCTTTTCATTGGTTCGATATATTTAAAAAAAAACATCATGGAAAGAATCACAATCAGATCAAATTTAGAATAGAAATTTGTGTTTAAATTAGATTTCCAAGGTTCGATTCTGTGAACAAAAATGAAGAGAAAGAGTGAAAAAAAGTTCTAAATATTAGAACAAGAGAAAAACTTTCTTCATATTATACGAAATCTCGATTTTTTCTAAAGGATTTGTGAGAAAAAAAATTCGAAAAAAAAAGTTCTGAACTCGACAACCTAAGTTCCAATGGATCATGAAGTTAAACACTCAACTCATGATATCATTTCCGATATTATGAATATAATTGTCACCACCAATTGAAAAGTTAATCAAGTTAACAAATATCGATATCGATAAAAAAAAAATGATCACCAAATCGATCAGAACAATTTGAGTATTCAGAAAGTGTTCCCAATCAGAGAGATTAGATAAAGACTAATCTAATTCATGATATGATGAAATAAACTAATCACCATGATGACAGAAATGAAAACTCATAAAATAATAAGTCAAAGATTCAATAAGAATCCAAGTCCATTCAATATGAATGGACAAAGTTACACAATAATAACAACTGATGGTCATTCAGATTAATAAGGATAAAAAAAAAGTTCCAATCAAATTGATTTTACTAATTAAACTTGATCAACTTTGATTTTCGGGTATTACCCAGGCAACTTTCCTCTCACTGTCCAGTGGTCATCATCAATATCACACAGGGGGATTCATATTGACATGAGTGTGAATTAATACTTGGTTACACTTGAATTATCATTTGACCATAAATCTGTTACAATATTACATCTAACAGGTTGTTAACATTTAATATCCTCTTGTTATTAACCTTTTACACACCAGTGGTCAGTTTATAAGTGGACAGAGTGTAAAAACTACAGCTACTAACAGTTAGTATTAGAAAACTGTGAAACCTTTGGAGGGTAAAAAAAAGCAGAATGTTGATCAATTCAGTGATCATGATAACTGAGTTTTCGTTTTATGTCAACGTTCAGAACAATTAATTAAAAACGATTTCATCTAATTACCTTTTACTTATTATCCATTATTCATTGAATGGTCACCTTCAAGGTCCAGATAAATCATCTATCGAATCCTCCCCTTTTGTAGGTCAATTTGTTTCCATGGAATTTTTTTCTCTTTTTCTTTTCTTCTTTTTCATCATTTTCTGTTATTATTATTACTATTATCAACTACTATTAATACTTTTAGTTTATCTTATTTAATAGTAACAAGAGTTTTCAATTGAAATGATGAGAAAGGTGAACAATTTAATAACGGTAAATATGATTTCCTATCAATCCAATATATATCAGGTTGATTGAAACTATTAGATGATGAAAGTTGAGTTGGAAGAGTGAAAAAAAAGTTCTGATTCAATATGTTTGAGGTGAAAAAGTGAAAAAAAGTCATTCCAATTCCTAAGTTATCATGTATTTCATTCATTTCTTATCATCTGATTGATTCATTTGATTGTGTATCAGAATTTTATCTTCTCCTTATCATCACTCTCTCTCTCTCTCTCTCTCATCCACCAAGGAGATAATAACAATTGAAAGAAACTGGAGATTTAAAGATTGATTCAGCAATTTGAAACTTTCTCTCTACAACAAGGAAACTCTGAATGAATTTTGAGAAAAATTCTGTACCATTTTCCTATTCTCATGGAATGTGCTCTTATTATTATTTGTTCCTGTTAACATGGTGATGAGGATGATAAGGTTGATGAGCATGATAATTTATCACCATCTTAATAAGGTGGAACTTTTTTCCATCTCCACCTACAAATACCATTGACTGAAAAAGAATAATAATAAGAATAAGTTGAGTGGATATAAAATTGAATCGAAACGATAATGAACTGAGAAAGAGAGAAAAATTTTCTCATGTTTATTGTATTCTAACTAATAAGAAATGTTGATATTAAGGTTAATATTTAGATAACTTTATCCTCATTGTTCAGCATCCATCATGGTTATAGTTGAAAACTTTGTCCTTACCTGGGGGAAGTTTGTATGTAAAGTCAACATTTAATCTCTACCTTTGAGTAATAACTTTCATGGGGAGAAAATTTCATCTACGATAAAATAATGTCAGAAATTGGTAAATATATGTTGAGGTGAATGGATGAGGAGGTAAAATGTTGAAAGACCATTGGTAAGGAGTGGACTTGGAATCGGTAAAGGGAGTTAGAAATATTCTTTATCCAGATATTATTCCTCATGGGAAGAATTTTTTTTTCTTCTTCATCACAAGTTGAATCTTTCAACATGATTCACAACTTATCTCCTTCCGCCTCCACCCATTTTCCAGGTAAATTGATAATACAGCCAATTATTACCTTTGGAAGATAAAAGAGGAAGAGACGAAAAAATTTCTCAACAACCAGAACAAATAATAATCTCCACTCTCACCATTATGAATTCTCTCTCTCTCTCTCGCTCACTCACTTCACATCTACTCATTGACGGTGAGAGATTTCCTATTCCCACTGAGCTTACAGAACTTTTCAAAGGAAACTATTAGTTAACTCGATGGGAATTGAAAAGGTAAATAACAAGGGGAAAACTATTATTTCCACCATGAAGGGAGGGAATTTCCTATTGAACTAATGTATTAAAATGATGAAAAAATAGTTAATTCGATTACTTTGATTGGCTAGAATTTAAATTTCAAATAAATTATATTCATCATCATCATGATTCAGCTGCTGGTCAATATATTTACATGCATGTTCATCATTAAATTTAAATTATCATCAAAACTTAGAGTATAAAGTTAATACATTTGAATTAATAACAATCAGCAAAGTGTAAAAAAATAGCCGATTTATTGAAAATATGATTAGATAAACTATTCGGATGAAAGTTCATTAAATGTGTTCAATTATCTCACACCAATGATTATGATTGAATATCATCATCACCCTGAAATTGATTGCGATTCATCAATAAATCTGAATGATTTTCTTCTTCTTCTTTCTTTATGATTTCTCTCCATGATAATAATATAAACGATAATTACTATTAGTAAAAGGTGATGATGATAATAGGAAGAGGAAAAGATTTCATGATATATAAGATGAGAAAAACTCTCTCTCTCTCTCTCTCTCTCTCTCTCTTTCTCTCTCTTTCATCTGAATTGTTATTATCTGTAGTAAGTGTATCATTATCAATCTAATAGTTTCACTCATCCATTCACTTGTTTCATTCATTGACTCATGATAATGGACTTAAACAGTAACACCTTATAAACAGTTGATTACATTATACAAACCGGAAAAAGGTAAACAGGAAACTTGTAACTTCCGGATTCATTGGGTTCCTTGTTTTTCTGCTGTGATAGAAAAAAAAGAGACACAAAAATATCTGATTAATAGATATTAACTATTTCATCATGTAAAGATTTATCCCTTTGGAAAATGTGATAATCATGAAACTTATATAATAATAATAATACTTTTATATATTAAATCTATTGATATTATTATGATAAGAAAATTGTAATTAAACCAGGAAATTTAAACAACTTTACCATTCAAGTTTCCTTTGAGAATCATGATAATCTGATGGTTCATGATGATTCATTTATAATAATTATCATGGATTCAAGCTAAATCATCATGTCATACTTATCTTGAGGGCATTTTATTTCAGTTAATTGCAATTACGAAATCAGGTGAATGAAAAACAGCATTGCAATTGTTGGGGTATTAATACAAAGTGAATGTGTGTCTTTCATGATGCCTTTTGGTAAGCTGATTACTTAGAACAAAAAAAAAAGTCGAAGGGGGAAAGGAAAGTTCTATCTTCGATAGTTCGATGAGAATAAGAGAGAATCCATTAGAAGATGAATAGATTTATCTTCATCTTCTTAACCATTTTCAATATCATCTTAATCTTCACTCTGATCTGATTTAGTTGTTAACATAATCGCAATTTCAGAATTAATACTCAGAACTTTGGAGAAACAGAATAAGATAAAAAAAAATCAGAGAATCGCCCGGAAACTGAACATATGAACTTTAATAACGATTAAATTAATCATCGCCAGGTAATGAGAAGACAAGAAGGTGAATCGTTTCGAGGAGAGAAAATTATTTCTTGGAATCGTCCAATTGAATTGCGATAAATATATTGTGAGATTAATTCTTTCATTAGATTTCTTCATGATTCTTCATGATACTTGGAACGATAATATTATTTATAATAGATCATGTAACTAATTAACAATCGACATTCGAGAATCAGTTTGTCTTTTTCTTTCATATGTTATTAGATTTTTAGAATTCCTTTTTTAGAATTTATTTTCTTCACTTTCCATCATGATGATTTCTTTTCACTTTCTCTTCATGAGATAATGAATCGGATTCAATAAGGAAACTTTGATAAAATTGAAGATAATGATAAAACGATGAGAAAGCAATAAAAATCCTTTAGCATCCATGGTGAAAAGTTTCAAGGGTGAATTGAGAAAGAAATGATAAAATGAGTTGGAAAAAAATTCGTTCAGCAAAATGTTCAGATCTTTTTTTTTCATCCGAGCTCTCTATCCATGATAGATAATGGATCCTGGGATGGAAATGATTACTCTAACAATTATCATCATCATCATCATCATCTGATCAGTTTTCTATGCATCAATAAGTTCAATTTCAATCAAGCCTCATTGTGGGTCGTATATTCATCATCTTTCATCATGATAAAAGCTCAAAGACATCACCATGAAATCCTGAGCTTTTAATTTTCTCTCAGTTGAAACTTTGTGAAAATTTTGTCAACAGAAAAGAGAGAGAGAAAAAAAGAAACAGATAAGATAAACATCTTAATCTATTCATTCATCTTCATGAAGCATCTTCACATCTTCCACCCACTTATCCGCCTCATCCTCATCTTCATTTTCATCCTCATCTTCATCTTCATCCTTCATCTTTTGTCTTATCGTCTCTGAGAAACCATGTTAACATTTATCAGAACTTTTCTTTCCTCTGAGTAAAAAAACAATTTTTCAGTTTTCCACCCAAAGTTCAGTGAAAACATAATTCGTGTTGATTAAAATACACTTAATAAACTTTTTCATCAACATTAATTATCACTTAATTAACACAATCTTACCCGGAAATTAATCGCAATCAAAAACAAGAAGCCGATATAATTATAAATTGTTTTTTTCTTGAGTCAATTTTTCATCAGATTAAATTGATTACCAAGCAACATAATTTCATGACAATCACCATAACCACAATTAGCAAAAAACAATTTATCCTATCAAATTAAATTGCTCTTCGTGACAATTAAGTACCAATTACTAATCAAACTTTCATTTGGTTAACAATTTGAAACAATCAACCATCATTATCATCACCATGATTACCCTGAAATTAAATTTTCTTACTCAAATCCTTAATTACCTTAACCTCCCATCTCGAGTGATTTAAATTGTTACCCAATTAACATGATCAAAGTTTAACAATTTAAATCATTAAAATCAACTGATGGTGTTGATGATTAGCAATTGTAATTTTGTTGATTGTTTGCTGATGATGATGATGATGGTTAATCAATTTACTTCATTTCAATTGTAACCAATGATTTATGATCTTCAAGATGAATTAAATTTAACTTTTAAATTGTACCAATTGATAACAATTGAATCAAGCAAAGTGATTTGTCAAACAATCAATTGCAGTCTCTATTGTTCAATTGTAAGAATCAATATTGTTAATCATTATCAGTATGTTGATCATGATTAAGGTTGATTGACATTGATTAACACTTATCATGATTTTGTGTAATAGTCAATTATGACAATTGAACCAATTAAATTGAAACATGAGATGAATGTTAATCATGATCATAATCATCATCTCAATCATGTTGATTGTCAGTTAATTGTCATTTATATATTTTGATTAACTTGATTAAATTGTTATGTATGATTATCAGTTAATCACTACAATTGAATCATTTTAAACATTCAATTTCCGTTTCCTATTCAATCAATAAAAATCAATTTCAACTTGTGACAAGTGTATTTTCAGTTTGACAATTTAAATCAAATCAATTCTCAATCAAATACTTTTTTTTATTAAAACGATTAATCAAAAAAATCAATTTCAACTTTAACCAAGTAATTGACATTTCAATTGATTGTTAAATTGTCAATAATTCATCATTATCGTTAATTGTTACATTTACAAGTCTATTTAATATTTTCTTCTTGATCAATTTAATCAACGATTAACTTTGAACATTAAGTGAAGTGTTACAAGTTAAATTAATCGTGAATATTGAGAGAGAGATTGAGATGACCATTGAGATGGACACTCGAATATTTCAATTGGAAGTCAAAGTGAAATCAATGTCAAAGGTGAGTGATAATGGATAACAATCTCATCCTCTTTTCCATGTTGACCCACTGCGGAACTTTTGACCAGTGATCTATCATGATGAGCACTTGAAGCTGTTCAAGTTGTTTCAGAACTTTTCAGAACTTTTTGCTTTTCTCTCTCTCTCTCTTTCCTTCAATTTCCGCTAACATGATATTTTCCAGTCTCTCATCTTCACCTCATCATCCACCTCCCACTCTTGTTGAATTTGCCTGCATCTTGTATCTTACCTTACGATGTTGATATTGAGTGAGTATTTACTCATCAGAAAGGTGGGGAGGGAATGAGAGAGAGAGAGAGAGTGAATCATGGGTGGATATTCAGAACTTTATTCCGTGTCAGAATCGTTGAACTTTCCCCGTCCACATGAACAAAAACCGAATATTTTTCCCTGTTTTCCATCCTGATAAAGATGAAATCGTGAGTGTAAAATGTCAAGTGAAATGTCAAATGACCAGAGAGCCATGAAATTGGTGAGAAACTCATATATTAAACACCAAGGGAAAATCGAGATCACATTATCATGATCTCAATGAAAATGAGGCAAAAAAAAAATGTACACTATGAGTTAATATAAAAATGGACATTTATATTATCATATATTATTTGATCATGATGATTACACACTTAACTTGTCAAAAAATGATTCCCATGATATTGAATATGTAATATTTCATGTTATGTTCAATTCAAGTGCCATCAGAATGATGATACATTTATGTACATATCTTGTCACCAATTGAAACAATAGATATCACCATTGGTGAGAAATAAACTATTGAAATTTTAATCTCTATTAATGTTTTACATGATGATTCAAAGATTCATAGATTTCAGTGAATCATATCATTCAGGGTGAACATTATTGTCACCGATTAACTCATGAATGAATTTGTTACAATAATGAAAAACCTACAATTTAATATTATCGCTTACACATTAATGATAATCTCAAATTTACTCAGTCGGTAGGAACTTTTTTCATATTATTCTGAATGAAAAAAGTTCAGTTCTTCCCACCCAGTCAACTATGATATCCATTTGACACCTGTACAGGTAAATGATAGATGTACCAACTGAACTACTCATTTTCTTACCTGAATCTTAAAATTATCATGAAGATTTTTGTTTCCTTTGGTGGAAAAGTTCAGTTGATTGATGAAAGTTCAAAATTCATTGGAAATTGTTTTCTTTTCACTCCAGAGAGTGGGTGGGAAGGGTTAGGTTGATGACAGAATTAATTAACTTTTTTCTGGTGATATTATTTGATGAACTTTTCTTTTTGTTACATGGAAATTATTATCTACCCATGATATCGTCAGAATTATTATATTAACAAGAACAAATTTTTTCCAAGAAATTTTTTCTCTTTTTCCATTTTTATTTGAGTTTAAATTGATCAACACCACGAATTCAATGAGAAATTGAAACAAAAGGTATAATCATATTATTAATCATGATGATAATCAAACTGAATTTGAGTCAACAATTAATTTCAAATTGTCACTTTTGATAATAGAAACTATTGAATGAAATATCTCTTGAGCTTTTTTTAACAATAAAATTCATGATAAGATCAGAAACTTTTCAATTTTGGATGAAAAATTTTTACTCTGAAAATTTCAATGAATAGGAAATAATCATGTAACTGATTGTAAGTTTGATTGTTGAAATGAATTGATTTTTACTCTTTTTGATTATCAATTTGATTGTCAATTAATCAATCGCTTTATTAGTTGATCTAAAATTATGAAAAAAAAGTAATCAAAAAGGTTCAACACTTGACCTCATTTCAATCACTCTCATTGGATCATGAAACTAAGGCAATTATGGGTCATCATGATGATAATCAAGTTTAATCCGATGAACATCATCATTCAAAAATCTCATGCTGAGCTTTAAGATGAACAATAAATCAATGGTGACCAATGAATCTGAATCAGAACAAACAAAGTTCTGAAACTTTCCCATGAATTTCATGCTAGTTTAAGTTGCTCTCTCTCTCTCTCTCTCTCACTCGTAAATAAATCAATTGAAATCCTAGAAGAAAATTTCAGTCAGATAATAATCGGTTATATCATATATCAACTCTCACAAACGAACTTGAAAAAAAGAACAAAAAAACCCTCAACCCAACCCTTTTTTCAATTGACTCTCTCTCGTTTCCTTTGTGAATGAACGTAGGTACCATTCATTTGACATTCTATTTGATAGTTATCATGTTAAATCATGATGAGTCTCATGTCTGATTCTTTGTAGATTTGACAAAACCATAATGTTCATCATCATCATTATCATGATGAAACAATTGCTTTGAAATTGATGGTATAACAACAACCAGAATCCGGAAGATGAACACAATAAATTGATTGAATTGGAAATATACAAAGAGGAAAATGGAATCACTTGATTTAAAAAGCTGATGACAAGGAAGATAATGTTAATGGGAATCATATTCATATCAAATAGAGAGAAAGAGAGGGAGGATGAGAGAGAGAGAGAGAGAGTGGGTTAGTGAGAATGGGAGTGAAATCCAATATGATAAAAGTTTTTACCACAATATACATTAAGAAACAATCTCAAGGTTCTGAATGGATTCTGATGATTTGGAATCAGAATTCAGTGAGTAATACTGGAAATCCATGATGTTGGACATGATGATTATACTCGAACATATCAACTCTATCATTATGATCATCATTTGATCGTATTGTGTATAAAGGTGTATTTACTTTCACGCTAGGGATTGGCGGAAATCTCTCTCTCTCTCTCTCTCTATCCTGTCATGAGTGGGAGTTAATTGCAAGGAAATGGAGAGGGGAAAAAACACTTCGTCAGAAAGTGATAATTTTGTTCATTGGGAATGTTCAGTATGTTATCAGCACTTGGAATTAGCTAATTCTCATGATAATATCTCTCACCTCCAGATTAACATTTCCTTTGAGACGCTAAGATGTAACAACGAAACAAATGAAAGTAAATTATGATTATTATTTTTCATCCTTCTCATAACATTGAAATTAAGACAATAATGATGATGATGATGATAGATATTGAGGTTAATATATTAATGATAATAATGATAAAAACAACAAAACGAACCAATGAAAATCAATGAACTGATTGTCAGGGTTAGTTGCTTATTATTGTTATCCACATCCTCCTAAAACTTATCTTTCTGCTCATCATCATCAATATGATTCTTACAACTATTAATACTATCATTGTCACCACTATTAATAAAGTTTCCCAATTTTCAGAACCTCTTTGTCCGGTTCCCATGTCAATTTCAGTTTCTCCTCTGGAAGAAGAGAGAGAGAAAAAAAAAATTTCTGACCTGAAAAAAGAGTCAAAAGGCAAGAAGAAAAGAAAACACAAGAAGGAGAAGAGAAAAAAATCCTTCGAATTCTAGTGACAGAATAATGAAGACAACGAATATAAGAAGCAAAACTAAGGCTATTCTTTTATCTTCTTCATCATTATCTTCCTCTTTCTTCGTAGGCTCTTTCGCTCTCTCTCTCTCTCCTCTTTCTTTCTGTGTCTTGTTTCTTTATGCCAACTATTAGTATATTTTTCCTTCTCTGGTGTTACTACTATTATCATCTCAAGCAAACAGAACAAAAAGCTTATGGAACATTTTCTTTGGACGATTTCTAGCATTTAACTGTTTCCTTTTCATCATTTTCCTTCATTTTTATTATCATCATCTTTTATATTTCCACTCTCGTCCCCAGTCTTTATCATCATTATCATCTGACTCAATTCTCTCTCTCTCTCTCTCTCTCTCTCTCTCTCTCTCTCTCTCTCTCTTCATTTACTCATCTCATTCATGTTTACGCTAAATTGGTTCACAAAAAATGACAAAATGATGACGACCAACGGAAACATTTTTCATGGTAGAATTGGAACTCTCATCATGAGATGATAATCTTTACTGTTTTTATCTCTTTTTTCCTCCCTTCTCTGAGTATTCTGATCTTGATCCACTTAACCTCAGAATTTATCTAAAGAAAATTTCTCCATCTTCAAAAAAAAGAAACATTCTACAAGGGGGTTGAATAAAATTCTTGAATATTCAGAGTGTGAATATTGTTCCAACGATTCTTTACTCAAGATAGAAATATACATGCATGATTACCATGAACTCTTTTCTGAACTATCGGAGAGCATGAATCAGGTTCAATTTTCTTACAGAGAAACAAAACAAAAGAGAGATAGAGAGAAACCTCAGAATAAGAATTGACTAGATTATCTTATATTTGCTCTCATCTTGATCATTATCATTGAATGTAATTCATCCTCTTTTCTTGTGGTAGATTCAGTTTCATCTGATTTTTTCCTCTTCTCTCATCATCATCATCATCATCATCATCATCATGAACTTGATCAATGAATAGTTAAGTTTGATGATCATTATCATCATCAAACATGACGATTCAAAGTATATACTTGTAATTACCATTAAAAATAGTTGATGATACTAATCAACAATAAACTGCAAACAATAAAAGGAGAAGACAAAAAAAAAGTTCACCAAATAAACTGAATAAGTTTGATTTTCACTCACAACTGAATCTGAATCATTATCATGGTGAAAGTCATGTCTACATTGATACGATAAAATTGGATAATGAGATAAAAAGACAATCAAGTAAATAACAATAAGATAATAATGATTATCAGGTATTGTCAGGCACCTTTGCCAAGTTCATCATTCTCATTTTCATGAGTATCATGAAGCAAAATTTCAATCACTTCAGAATCATCATCTCTTATATTGTTAGACTATCATATATATAATTCAGATGAACAATCAGATTGTTGTAGGGAAAAATAATATTACCAAATGAATTATCATATAAACATCATGATTCAAGGTAAATATTGATCATTGTTTTCAGGGAGAAAAGCAAAATTTACCCTGAAAATTTATCAGTAATTGAGGGAAAAAAAAGTCGAAACTGAAATTGTTACTTTTGTCTTGATAACATTTTCCTCTGATAATATTTATTATCTTATAGATATTACTTTGAATTGTGTTCATTTTTATTCATCTGATGATTATCATGATAATGATGAAAGATAAATGAACCAGAATTTTATATATATTTTTCTTTCTGTTGAACAAAATTCAGTTATCGTATTTACTTTATCACTTACTCATGGACCATAAAAACCGTAACACTTAACACAATTTACTGAATCAGTTGAAAAAAAAGTTCATGATAAACAGTAAAAGTAAATGATATGAATAAATAAATCAGGACGAAAGAATTTCCAAAAAAAAAAACAAATAACCTTAATTCTGATCAATAAGTAATCAATTTAATTAATTGCTCAACAGGTAATATCAGTTTCATGATGAAATTGCAGTGTTAATTTAATAATAAACTAAAAGATAATAATATAAGTTGCTGGGGAAAAAAGTTCCCAAACTTTCAAATCAATATTGAACTTTCTCGATTTTTCAATCGATTTCAACTGAACTTTTTTCCTTCACCACCATGTTGATAATCGTGCTCATTGGTTATGATAATTATATGCAAACTTGTTGATATAACATGATGATTATGATGATAAGATGTGAGAGGCTAAAAGGAGCAAAAAAGTTGTTGAGTTATTATCATGAAATTCATCATGATATATATACATTTATTTGAATATATAGTTGCATGAATGATGAGGGAGAAGGGGAAAAGTTCAGCTCATTCTGAATATTATCTAACCTGTTAGAGTGATAATGTTGATGAGGATGAATATGAATATGAAAAATTTCCCAGTGTCAAGAGGCAAAAATTATCATGAAAATGCTGAAGAAAATGTGAAACATTATTTTTTTTCATCTTCTTCTTCAACACTCTTCATGTGAATATTAAATTATCATGTCAAGTAGATATTATCATGATTATATTTACTCATTTGATGTAACACTTTTCAATTGTTCATTTATCATGAAAACTCAGGTTGATGATGATGATGATGATGAGGGAATCATTATCATGGAGTAGATGTAAATTTAATCAAACAATGAAACATATTGAATCGTAATCTCATTATAACGTCTGATTGAATTAAGATGGAACTTTTTTTTTCATCATTCCCTGAGTTTTTTTCCCTCTCATCAGAACTTTTTAAAAGTTGAGCTTCCGTTTCAATGTTATTAACCATGATGATAAGAATTGCTTGTCATAAATAAACTAACTAATGACTTTATGTCTAAATTCATGGTGTAGTTTGTCATTAGTTTAAGTTCAGGTTAATCTCATGAAATTCATGGTTATTGTTATTATTATTTTCCATCCTTTCAGTTTGTTCATTTCCAAGCATAAAAAATTTTTCTTCATTCTGATTCACATGAAAACGATAACAGATTGAATTTTTGGAATGAATTTTAATACTGATTCCATTCACTTCGTTAGGAAACTATAACTTTTCATGGTGAGTA